GGGGGGGGAGCAGCAGCAGGACTCGACCCTGCCGGTCGTTTGTGCCTCCGTAAAATAAAAAGTGTAAGAAGGGCGTAAAAGACGCCCCTCCCCCTCACACACACACACACACAGAGAGAGAGGACAAAGCCTTTACCAGCGGAGAAGCAGAGCCTGGCAATCAGCACCCACTCCACGAGAGCTTCTGGGCGCCGCAGCAGCACAGCACAGCAGCAGCAGCAGCGACGCCCATTCTGGCGTGACCCGGCAGCGGCCAGCCACGGCGCGTCTGTTGTGGAATTTGTCTGACAACACCTCGGGAGTCTAGCCCCCTGCCCCTCCCCCCACCCCCCTTCTCTCTCGTGCATTACATACGTCGTCGAACACCCACGACCCGATTTGTTTCAGCGTGTCGTGTGCGCCGCCGAGCCGAGACCCCATTGGCTCGGGCGCGTTTTATGCGGCGCCGAGAGTCTCGGAAAGTCTTAGTGTGTGACACAGTAGTCGGGCGCGCCATGTCACTAAAATGAGCTAATGGGGACTGGCGACCTCTGGCGACTCGGGTTAAGGTCACGCTTACGTCCAAAACACTGTGAAGGCGTCAGGCTGGGGTGGGGGAGGGGGGTAAGGGCGGACACGCAGAGACAGGGGTGGTAGGTAGGTGAAGGATCAAAGGGTGATGTGGGCGTGGGCCATAAACGTCAGGCAGTGCCGGGTGTTTCATAAAAGGCAGGTGCTGTTTCCCGACCCAAGCGGCTATGGCGCCTTACGGGCAGAGCCGGTAGGCAAACCCGCCCGCACCTGTGTCTTGTATGAAACACCCGGTACGCGTAGGAGCTCTTGGTGAACGACCTCGGCGCTAACGCAGTGCGTTTTGTGTGTTTTGCAGGAGTCCTTTCGGGCCGACCCCGGGCGCAGGGGTGTCGCTGACTCACGCACGGCAGCCGGCCGAACTCAGGCCAGCAGCGCCAGCAGAGTGACTCATCATCCCAAGGACGCCCGCCGCGCCGCGCCTGCTCCTGGAAAACAAAACGCTTTTCCCAGAAGTGCGGCCAGGAGGCGCGACGCGACCCCAGGCCGAGGCCCGCCCGGGACCGTGCGGAGCCGGCAGCCGGCAGCGCACCGGTGACTCCTTCGCCTCCATGGGGCGGCCCGGCCACTAGGCCTGCCACTAGGCCCGGCCGGCCGTGATCGTGCCGAGAGGCCCCGAGAGGCCCCGAGCCCTATCGTCATGAACATGAACGGGAGCCACGGCGGCGGCGGCGGCGGCACAGTCAAGCACATGACGTCGCTGTACACGCGCCAGCCGTCGCAGACGCAGATCCCCATCCCCAAGAAGTTCACCGCGTCGCTCAAGATGGGCCTGGACACGGGCAGCAAGTCGCCGGTGCTCGCCCGCTCGACGGGGTCGTCCTCCGTGGCCGCTCGCGCGCAACTGTTCCAGAGCGGCAGCGGCTCCAGTAACAACAACAACAACAACGGCGGTTCTGTTACCAACAACAATAACAACATTGCCAACGGCGGCGGCTTCCACGCCAGGAACGGCAGCACCACGAGCAGCAACGGCTCGTACAGCCGCAACGGCAGCGCCTCGTCGTCGGGCTCCTCCAGCCCCACCAAGACCGTGGGCGCGAGCCCGTTCAACGGCAAGGTGGTGAGCAACGGCGGCAGCAGCGTGGCGTTCAGCAACGGCGCGCCCCCCAGCCCGGCCAGGGCGGCCCTCGGCAGTTACAGCAACGGCGTGTCGTCCCCGGCGAGCTCGTTTGGGAGGTCGGCGACGACCAACGGCGGCACCGCGTACGGCGGCAGCAGCGTCGCCTTCAACAACGGCGCGCCCCCGGCGGCGTCCCCCGTGCTCGGGCCGGGCGCACCGCTGTCCCCCGGAGCCTCCCCCGCCGACAAGTGGAGGGCCAAGTACGAGGAGTCGGAGCGCAAGAGGAAGCTGCTGCTCACCTCCTCGGAAAAGAGTGAGTACATGCCGTTATCGTCGTGGATTACTGGGTACTTGGTGACGCGACACCCGCGGTGACGCTGGTGACAACGGCGGGGCCTCGTAACTTATCATTTATCTGGCTATAACGTTATTTTTTGCCGATAACGGTATAAACTAGTAACTTTTATTGACGCCCTCTAGGAATAAGTTAAAAATTCGAACCGTCTTAACTGTCAGTACGTAATCGCCAAACAATTTTGGAGCCTTTTAGAAAATTGAAAACTTTTTCTTGGGCGTGTGTTCTTTGTTGTTTTGTTACGTTAACTAACTTTTGTTCGCGTTTCGATAAGTTACGGAGACTCCCCTGGACAACGGCGGGTAGCCAGCCGGGAGCGTAGGCAGCTCGGACGTCAGATGTGTCGCATGAGTTGCCTACCGGCAGGCGCCTAGCCGTTCTCCTCAGCGCGCCGCACAAAGCTCTTTGGCGCCGCACCGCGGTGATGCTAGAGCGACTGTGGCGATACTCCGCGCACACCGCGGACGGGCGCTCGCTCGGGGAGTATGGACCGCGGGTCGGGCCGCAGCTCCCTATCGCCGTCGTTGTCACTGTCGTGCAGTGTGCTGCTGGACCAGCCAGAGCACAGGCCGGACGCAAAAGCGCGAATCGTTTCGCGGATTTACAAAGTTGACGCGGGAAATAAAGTGCCTGCGACAGCCATGCTGGCCGCCGCGGGCGCTGCCCTGGCCAGCCGCAGGCCGCAGGTGTGACCCTCGTTGATGTGTGTGTTGTTTGCAGACGCGAGGGAGGCCTCCGAGCTCCAGCGGAAGCTGCAGCAGCTGCAGCGCGAGCACGACGCCACCAAGCGCGACCTCAAGGACCGCGAAGACAAGCTGACGCAGCTGAGGACAGGTGAGTGTCCCCGTTTGTGACTTTAAGTGCCAGGCCAACAAAGGCCCTACAAAACCAACAGAAACGACAGAATTAATACTTTGTACACAAAACCGAATGTTAGACTAGCAAAGTAGCTGCCCGCAGTGAGAAAAATATTTTCTGCCCGGCACAAAACATTCGTATTTCCCCCAACTTTATCGCGGCTCAAAATTCGATGGTACTATTGAAATTGTGTCCTTTGCAGTTAGTTTTGTTGAGCGCTGCTCTAGTGCTCTAAACGGGTCATCAGTTTAGATCTCGTGTCTTAATGACCCCGAGCTCGTATGCAACCCGCTCACACGCGTGCATCCTGTGGAGATGAAGGCGCAACTGCGCAAGGTTTTAAGCTGCGCGAGCAGGTCTGCAACTGCGCGACTTTAATGATGACGTTTGCAATGCAGCTGCGCGAGGTAGCGGACTGCGCGGCGCCGGAATTCAACTGCGCGATTTTAACTTGTCCTGTTTGGAACTGCACAAGCAGGCCACTTTGATGACAAACGGAGTGTAATGGGGCACTTCAGGGACTCCAACGGGAGGCCAGCCTAACCAAGCTGGGCTCGCCGAGGGACACCCGCCTCGCTCACCTCTGCTGAAGGCACGCCTCGCGAATCAGTTCGCATACAGTTCACGCCCCCACAAATTAAGTAGACGTGTCGCAAGCGCGACATAACGCGTCCCATCTCTAGCAAGTGGGTCTCCATCGTGCCGGTTGACCAAGGCCGCTCCTTCAGGTCTAAATATCCGATTCCTGTGAAGCTCAGAATATTTGAAGGTTATTTTATGTAGAAGTCGGATGGCACATGAAATTTTTCCTGAAACTCACAATTAGCTCATGCCCTTATATCAGGTAGCTGAGCCGGTCGGCAGCGATGATAGACCTACCCACCCACCCACACGCGTGCGTGCGGTACAGGAACGGAAGTGTAGGGAGTCAGCCACCTTGTCAGTCTGCCAACGTTGTGAAAATTGTAGCAAAGCTCATAGACATGAGCGAATTTACCCATATGCTCTAGAAACTCAAGTGTCGTACAGTATCAATGTACTACAATTCTTTGTGTAAGACACCGCGTGTCCGACAGTTACAAATGACGCTTTTAACTGTCGGACACGTCGTGTACTAACTGTAGTACACAAACGGTATCACAGTTTAAACTGAAATACCCTCAGTTCTGCAGTTTAAACTGTCATATTGTACGACACTTGAGTTGCCAGAGTGCCCACATCGAGGGGTGCCCAACTCGAGAAAATCGTGTACACCTGATTACCAAAAAGTGATGATTACCAAGGATTACTAGAGACTACCAAAGATTACCGAAGATTACCCATGATTACCAAGGATTTCCGAAGATTACCACTGACAAAAGATTACCAGTGATTACGAAAGATTGCCATTGATTACGAAAGATTGCCATTGATTACCACAGATTACCAGTGATTACCAAAGATTACCAGTGATTGCCAAAGATTACCTGTGATTCCCAAAGATTACCAGTGATTTCCAAAGATTTCTAGGAATTTCCTTGCTGGATTACTTAGTGATTACCAAAGATTACCTAGTGATTACCAACGATTACCTGGTGATTACCAACGATTACCTGGGGATTGCCAACGATTACCTAGTGATTACCTAGTGATTACCATGGATTACCGGCGATTACTAAGGATTACCGGTGATTACCAAGGATTACCAGTGATTACCAAGGATTACCGGTGATTCCCAATGATTACCGGGGATTACCAAGGATTACCGGTGATTACCAGGGATTACCTACTCTGTGTACACCTGATTACCTCAGTTGGGCACCCCTCGGCCCACATATTACAGAATCTTGACCTCGAAAAATAAGACGAAATGGAATCTGCCAATCTGCGGCCAATTAGATCCTGTAGTTCGCAACAGTTAGTCCACTTTTCTCAGCCAGAAACAAAACGAGTACGTTCGTACACGGGCAGCTAGGAAGGGTCCATGCCTGAGTTCTGCCTCCTGGACACACGCAACGAGGGCATCATGGAGGTCGCTGAGCCGGTCGTGGATCGGGCCTCTTCGAGCAAAATAATATCCATTCACCCGCATTCACCGCTTGGCAGCCTTGGTCCCGCGGAGCGGAGGGGCGGCAAGGGGCGGGCCATGGAGTGTTAACCGGTGCCGATCGGTCACTAACAGCCCATTTATATCAATGGCGCGTCGCGGGGCGTGGCGTGGCGAGGGCGGACCGCGACGCCACTCCTGGAGAACACCTTGCACCCCCCCCCCTCCCCTCCCCCCTCGGTACCGGGACGAGAGGTGCTCCTGTAGCGTGGGAAATGTAACCGTAGCCGCAACCGGGGCGCCCGCGCCCGCCTCTCGGCTGGCTGCTCGTGCCGTGGCGCTCGCGGCTCCCCGCGCCGCTCCTGGAGCCGCGCCTCGGCGCCGGCAGGCCGCAAGCGGCGCAGGCCCGCCCCGCAGTTGTTGTCGGCCCGCGCCCCCGACGCGACGCCCGGCGCGTGCCAGCCCGCCGCCGATCCCTTATGGCTCGCCGCTGGTGGGACTTCCCTAGCTCTCAGCCGATGACGCCGCGTCGCGCTGGGCGAGCAGCTCACGCCGCCGCCTGACCGCGAGCTCCGCGCGCTAGCGTGTGTGTGTGTGTGTGTGTGTGTGCAGCACGACCCCGGGGCCTTCATGGCGCCGCCGACGGCCACCGTCACCGTGCACATGCACCTCCAGGGTGAGTCAGCTGCGGGGCGAAAGGGTGGGCGATGCGAGGCGAGGTGGCCGTCACGGAGGACTGTGCGGGGCTGGACGAGGTGGCCCTGGGGGCCTCTATGGCGCCCCCGACGGCCACTGACACCATGCACGTGCTCCTCCAGGGTGAGTCAACTGCGGGGCGAGGGTATGCGGACGAGGTGACCGTCACGGAGGGCCGTGGGAAGGCGCCGCAGTCGTCGCCGGCCAGCGCCAGGCTCGGGTCGTTATCAGTGACCGGCCGGCTCCGACCGAGGTCCTTTCCTTTGACGACCGCCGCCGACAGGGACAGGAGACCGTTCAGTGAAGGGTGGTTTGACTGGGCTGGGCAGGCGGAGAGGCCTGCGCGGCAATGGCATGGAGCAGGGCGGCCGAGGGAGGGAGGGGGGGGGGGCAGGCTCGACGGTGTCCGTGTGTGAGTGCGTGTGTCATTGTGGGAAGATGCTCGCCAAGTCGTATGGTCAACAGAAGCCAGGGCGAGCAGCTTGGCGGGCCTTGGTGTATATGGTAGGGGCTAGGGCTGGGGGCGCAGCCGGGCCGGCACCGGGTCCACTGAGCCAGCGCTCGAGAGAACGACATTCGACACCTCACAATAACCCCCCCC